CACACACACACACACACACACACGCCCTGCCCTGGCTTCAGTGGCTTCTCAGGCCCGGTGCAGGACAGGGCAGCTTACCCAGGGTGAGCAGCTGAGGTGCCACCTGTACTAGAACAGGGTGGTGGAGCTCTGGGCTTGATACAGGTCCACCCTCAGCCCCTGTATAAGCTTCACCCGGTCCCAGGTGCCAGGCCCTGCCCCAGGTTGCTAGCTCCCTCAGGCAGTCATGCTTTCTGTTCCCTAATCCCCTGGTATCTCCCCAACCACAGCTGACCAGAGTTTCAGTTTGTTGTTGAGTCTGATGAAGAAGGTGAGTGAAAAACAGAAAAAATTCCAGAGTTAAGAGCGGAAGCCCAGGGAAGCAGAAGGAAGGTCACTCTGAGAGGAGGCACTGCCTCCAGTCATCTGCCCCATCCTGCTCAGCCTCAGCAAGGCCTTTCCTCATTAGTCTCTTCCAGCCGAAGAGTGTGTGGGCAGAAGTGATCAGTCAGTGGCCTCAGGGCTATCTACACATGCCATGGAGCCCAGAGGCAGGACCCTGGAGGTCTGTGGCCCCTTGTTACAGCCCTTCATCCGCAGCTCCTCCGTGATCTATACAGGCAGGTGCTGTGCCCCTCGAAGCAGCATTACCAGGACAGGAGGGCGCCATCCCTTTAGGGATCTAGCCCACTGGGAAAGGACACTGCCAATCCTTGCTAGGTAGTGGCCCCTCCATCCCGCTCCACCTCCACAGTGGCCAAAGATGCAGGCTTGGAGGGAGGCAGAAGGAAGAGGAGGAAGAAGAGGAGGAATGGTCCAGGGAGCTCTCATCCAAAGGAATCAAACAGGCAGGTTCTCAAGGGTGGGCCAGGCTAAGCTGCCTGCCTGCTGCCTCTGCTCACAGGCCGGCCAACCCTGCAGGGCCCTGTCAGGGGAGAGGGTTCCGGGCTGTGGCAGGGTAAGGGCACTGCTCTGCCTCCCTGAGTCTCCCTGGTTCCTCTCCCGGCACCATTCCTACCACTCCCAGGAGCCATTTGCCGGGCAAGGCCATCACCTTCCACTCCAGGTCTTCCTAAGAAGGTGGAACCTGTTTCCACTTACAGAAGTTCCCCTGACATGCCCCAGCCATCTCAGTGCTCTCTCCCAAGTGGAGTTACTCCCTCTACTTGGGCAAACACTTGCAGCCCTCACTTGGGCAAACAGTGTCCCCAGCCAGGACTTTGAGTCACCTGCTCTGCACCCCACTTTTCATCAGCAGCCACTCCCTGCTCTTTCCTCCTCTGTGGCCTCCAAAGCTGTTCCCTCCACCCATCCCCCACTCTACCCATCGCCCCCGCCACCCACTGCAGGAACTGGCCTGCCTGCACCCGCACCCCCAGCCCCAGCCTGCAGAACACACATCCAATTTCACAACTGACCCACTGAGGCATTTTGCTTCTGCAGAACAAGGGCTAAAAGTCAGGCAAAGAGACCCTCAGCAAGCTCGCCTCCTACTGCCCCGGTAGCCAGTGTGCCACTCACAGGCCCTGGGCCAGCCACACCTGCCCTCTGGCCTGCCTGCCACCTTTCGCCACAGGCTCTTGCTCATGTGGAGGTGGGCCTTCGCTGAGCAGGTACAGCTGGGCACCGGGTGACAGCTGTTCACAGCAGAGGAACAGCAGGCAAGAAGGTAGGAAGTAAACCTAGCGAATAGGAAGGAAACCCAGAGGACCTGGTAAGAGGTGACAGCCAGCAGGGTTGGGGCGGGGGGGGGGGGCAAGATGCTGCAATGGGGTCACCGTGTCCTCAGGGCCTTGAGCTGGGAAGAAGCTTGCAACACAAACACCTGTCTGTCCCCCCACCCCCCTACCAGGGGCTCATCCTCCCCCACAGTCCCTGCCAGAGGCTGAACTGCACATCCAGGTCACCAGCATTTGACACCACCTGTCACATGCCAGGAGCTGGCTAGGGGGTCCAGGACACGGACTGGCAGAAAGTGCCCATCCCTATCTGACATCCTCAGATGTCAGCCCTGCCAGGAAGCTCTCCTAGACTTCCCTGTGCAGGGGAGGTGCTCCTGCAGACCTCCCTCCCTGTTCTCCCACCAGACCAAACCGGGAAGCAAGCGCAGCCTTTTAAATGCAGTGGGCACACGAGGGACCCTGACAGGGGTGAGGAAGATGGCACAGAGGCCTGTCCTCAGGAGCAAGTACACACAGGCAGTGTCGGCTGCCCCTCCTGAGCCGTCACCCAGCCCGACTCACCCCTAGGAAGCCATCTTTGCTCTTGGTCATGGTCTCTGTGAGCAGAGGCTGGAATCGGGCTTCTATGGTGAGCGTCTCCTCGCTGGGATCATGAGACAGCTGCTCTTCCTCGTAGTTGGCCACAGGAACGGACCCTGTGGGACAGAGGTGGCTGGAGAGGCCCTGCCGCTGGTCCCCAGGCCTCATTTTTCTCAGGATGCCCGTGACAAGGGAGCTAGGGTTAGTTAAGTCACCAAAGTGGCGGACACTGTGTGGGATTCTGCTTTGACCACAGCCGGGGAGTGGATGATGTCCTTAGCAACTCCATTTCACAAACAAGTGGAGATGAAGTCACTTCCCCATTGTCACAAACTAGGCAAGGGGAGGGGAGAGTCAGGACTCAAAGCCAGGCCTGTGTCACTCGGAATCCATGATTGGTTATGGCCCTCTTCTGGATCTTAGAGGACTGTGAGGGACTCAGTCAAGGGAATCTTAGCAAACAGAAAAGCAAGACACATAGGGCTGTAGGGCTCTGGCGTCACTGGATGAACACCGGCGGGCGGAGACTTGACCTGCTTCTCCCTGCCCTTCAGGCTGGCTTGGACTCCCTGCATGAGGAGTTTAGGGCTGGCTGATTTCTCTGCTCTCCTGTAAGGACATGCAAAGTCCCTCATATTTTCTGTATGGATGGAGCCAGGATGAAGGATTAAGGGGAGAAAAGCCGGCTACGGAAGCTACGACAGAGTGGTCTTCTATGACAGAATGAAGCATGCTAGCCCTGCCCTACGGACTCCCAAGAGACAATATCTGCACTTGGTGGCACTTGGGACCAGCCAAGCTAAATGGGGGTGCATCATAGGTACCCCAGAGCCAACCAGAGCCATCCATCAGGCATGCAGGCTGCCTGGTCACAGTTCAGTGCTCAACGCCCACCTCTGCCTACAGGAGCCTTCAGGGGTTAGACTCAGAAATCTGCGCTTTGAATTAGCAGTCCACAGCAATCATGTTCAAAGATCACTTTGGGGCAGGAGAGATGGCTCAGCAAGACAGCTCGGCTCAGTGAGTAAAAGCGCCGTAAGCCTGACCGGAGTTCTAGCTCTGAAACATGTACCGTATGAAAACACAGGAAAGGCTCTGCCTCAACAGGGTGGAGGAAAGAGACTTCCAAAAGCTGTGCATACGTATAAGAGACAATTTTTATATGACTGTTGTTCTTTCTTTCCTTTTTTTTTGTTTTGTTTTCTTGAGACAGCATTTCTCTGTGTAACCCTGGCTACCCTGGAACTCACTGTGTAGACCAGGCTGGCGTCAAACTCAGAGATCCACCTGCCTCTGCCTGCTGCGTGCTGAGATCAAAGGTGTGCGCCACCACACC